GACCCTGGAGAAGGCCTGCCCAGCATGGGGGAGAGTGGGGGTCCGGAGGGAGACAAAGCCCTTCCCAGAGATGCCTCCTCCTTCCCCTGCACATCCACACAGGGGAGAAACAGTTTTAAGTAAAAACTTCCAGATGTGCAGAATTCTTACATTTTACGATGCACGTTGACTCCTATTGCTTATTTGACCCGTGTGACTCTGTGGTGGAACATCTCTCACTTTGACAGTGGGGTAAGCTGGGGCTCAGAGAGGGCAAGCAATACATTCCAGGCCACACAGCTGGGCAGGAGAAGCCAGAGGACTCCATCCAGGTCTTGCTCTTGCCCCTCTAGCCAGCTGGGTCCTGGGGCCAGGCTCTTGTCCAGGTCCTCAGCCTTGGCTGGCACACAGCTGTATAGGAAGAGTTTTCTAGCAGCTTCTGCCGGTCCCTTCCCTAATGGAAAAGGAGGGCTTAGTCTATAAGCCAGGGAAACAGAAGTCCTGGCCCCAGAAGCTCTAGGTTGAAGAGCGCCAGCAGCCGAAGGGGAGCCTGGTTCCCTGCAGGGTGTCGTCGGCTCCTGCCCTGGGGCCCCTGGTGCTTACAGATTCAGGCTGCCTCGGAGCCCTCACCCTGTCCACGAAGCCCTGGGAGACCTGGCCTCCGGCTTCCTCTCCTCTCATTTCCCCTCTCTTCTCTGCTCACTCGGCTCTGCCTCGCCTGCTTCCTGGAGCACCAAGCCTGTTCCCCTCCTCTGAGCTTCGTGCCCTCTGCTCGCCCGGCCTGGCACTGCCCTTCCCAGGTGCCCCTCGGCTCGGCTCGCCCCTGGCAGCCCTCCTGCTGCCCTCTGGGTCCCTTTTGGCCCTCCCTGCACGACTGCCCGCCCTCCCCCCACCCCCCATCCCCCAGGGCTTTGCGCTGCTTCTTCCTTCACGGCGAGGGACAGGACAGTTAGCCGTTAGCTGGTGTTGGTTGTCTGCCTACGGGCGCTTGGGGGCAGGAGCTTGGTCTCGTCCTCTGCGTCCCCGGGGCCTGGACCAGGGCCTGGGACGGGGGGGCGGGGGGGGGGCGCAGCTGAGAATAACTTACGGCCAATTCCCCTTGAGGTGTCAGCTGTGCCATTTCTTCCGGGAGAGTTTGGTGGGGAGAGTGGTGGGGACCCAGGCAGGCAGGGGGAATGACCAAGCGGTGATGGTAGGACTCTGTCTGCAGGGGTGGCGGCCCTGTCTGGGCAGCCTTCGCGTCTCAGCCATGCGGACACAGCTCAGCCACCCCACCAAGTGCCGCTCCCTCCCTCCCTCCTGTCCCCGCTGCTGCAGTGTCCCTGGTTGGGCTCTCAGCCCAGGCCACCCCACAGCCTGGCGGGCCTGCCCTCCATCTGCAATCCATGCAGCCGGAGCTTGCCACTTAAGGCCCTGACCCCGCCACCTTGTTTCTAGGACAGAGGTTCTTAAATGCCCACCCACAACCTGGCTTTGGAGTCAGTCCTGAGCTCAAATCCTGCTCCCTCAGTACTAGCTGGGTGGCCTTAGGCAAGTTCCTGAACCTCTCTGAGCCTCATCCACTGGCTGTCAGATGCAGGAGAGCTAGCACCCCTTCTCGGGCTGTGCTGAGTGCTATTACCCTTGTCTTTGCTATCTGCAAAATGGGGATAAAGACTCAGACCCTGCATGATTGTTTGAGGAGTTCATGAGCTAGAGTATTTGAAATGCCAGGCATGGGGCCTGGCACAAGGTGGGTGTTCAGACGACATTACCTTTGGCTCTTTCCCAGAACTGTTGGCTATAAACCCATTCAGTGCAGCGAGAGGAGAGAGGGAGAGGGGCTGCTGGGAGGGGCGGGGAGGAGGGGCAGAGTGTCATTTATTAACGCAGATGCTTTGAAACCAGCTCTGAGAATCCGTCCCACGTGCCAGCCAAAGCAGGTCAGGCCATCTGCAGAGGATAGACTATCCCAAACCTGATTCCCTGCCCTACCCCCACCAACTCCCCTTCCTAGCCCCAGGCTGCCTGCTAGCCCTCTGCTGGCGCCTCGTGGGCATCCGGGATAACGAGCGGACTCCACCTGACCGCGTCTGCGAGCCTCCCAAGCATCCGTGGGCTTCCTCTGCCTCCTTGGCTAACAGATCTCAGCTCCGGGAGGGGAGAGGCCAGGATGGGTGAGCTGCAGCCCTGGGTCCTGGGCTCAGGAGCACGGGGGCTTCCTTGGGGCGGGGGTAGGTCTCGTCCAGTGCCCGGAGGGCATTTGAGGCCCAGGATAACTGACACCGTGCGGAGGCGGCACCGACGTCGCCCTGGCTGATGCAGGGGCTCCCTGCGGCCAGCCTGGCTGCCCACCCTGCAGGTATGTGCGGAGGGCGGCTGGAGCGTTCCCCATCTGCCCCTGGTTCAGCTTGCTTGTCTGCAGGTCTGTGCCTGGTGTGTCTGTAGCTTCTGAGTGTGTTGATGTGGGCCTGGCTGTGTAACGTCTCTGGGTGTAGGTTTGGGCCTTGCATGTCTGAGTGTGCGCCTCTGTGTGCGCGTGCACACACGCCTGGATGGTGCCCATGAGTGTCTACTCTGCAGGGGGCTTTCTTTCATGTCTGTGACTCTAAATCAACACCACCAAACCCACTCCCCACCTCCCCGCCTCGGCGGCTTTACCCACCCCGGAGGAGCGCCGACAGGGCGGGGGAGCCCGGGAGGCGGAGGGCAGGGCTTCCCTCTCCGACGGGACTTCCAGGGGGAGGAAGGCGGCGGAGGAATTGTCCCGGAGATGGCTGGCTGGGGGCCAACTCGTCTTGTAAAAAGATCCCAGTGCCTGTGGAGCCAAGATGAAACAATTCCTTGGAATTAACCAAGCTAATTTTGACGAGCAAACATTTTGCTACAATGAAAGTTTTTATTGTAGCACATAAAAGTCAAAACAACACCCAGTCCCCTTGGGGGAGACAGGCGGGCGGGCAGAAGAAAAACAGCGCGCACACAAGCTCGAACTAATCATTGTGAAATCAAAAGTGCTCGCGCTGCCAAATTAAATGTGACTAAAAATACCCGTGGAGAGGAGCCGCTTAAGGGCAGCCCCCAGAAGCCGTGGATTCCTTGGCTGACTTAAGGAATTCAAAACCCCAACCTCTCCAAGCACAAGCCATTATGTTCCAGGGAAGAGTAAGGCCAGAGAGAAAGGGCACCGCCAGCTTCTAGAACATTCCTCAGGCCTGGGTCAAGGTGGAGTCACTTGGCAGGACCAGGGAAGAAAGCTGCCATTTCTGTGGGGCCTGGTGGCTCTCTGAGGCGGTTCCTGGTTGTCCGTTATGCCCTCACCTTTGGGGCTACCTCTGTCCCTTCGTTCATGTTGAGCTGCCCTCCGGGAATCCCCTCCCCCACTCACCCCTGCCCATAGTTCCAGCAGGATCAGGTCCCAATTCGTCCAGGCAATTTCTGTTGATGACTGTTTGATGTCATGAGTTCACATGACTACCGCCCTTCTCAGTGTGCCCCATAACAAATACCCCAGATTTTGGCAGGAGCAGCTCCCTTTGGCAGACAAGGATTTGTGTTGAGTACTGGTTGATGAACCCAGCCCAAGGGAGCTGTCCTTACATGGCATGTGGTTAGCGCGGAATGAGTCCTGTCAAACCAGCAAGCGTTTCCTCAGCTCCTACTTGGCACTCAGAGCTGTGCTGGGCACTGGCGGCACTTGGAAGACCCAGATGGGGTCGAACAGAAGAAAGGTTGTTCCTGGTGTGTCGTTCACGGCTGCTTCCGGGGTGACCCTCCTGGACCCTCAGACAGCACGAGCCCTTAAAGGGCGGGGCTGGTTTCATCCTGCAGAGGCCCCATCCCGTCATCTCTGTTGTTTCCACTTCAAGGCACATCATCCACCTGACAGGAGATTTCAACATGGGTGCTCCGTGCATGTTTGGAAATGGGGTGATTTAGAGACAGCCCTGGGAGAGCAGTGGAAATCCCCTTTTTCTCTGATGTCCTTCAGCGGAGCCCAGCTCTCTGAGGCAGGACTGTGTGGTGGTTTGGTGCACAGGTGTGGAAGTCAGATGGACCTGAGTGTGAATATTCTTTCCTTGCTAGGGGTAGGTATACAAAGTGGTCAAATTCAGTGCCCTCTTTGAACCTCAGCTTGTTAATACATAAAGCAGATGTCAGAGGATCTACTTCATAAAATAGATCCTGCTATTATTATCATCTCTTTTATCAGGATGATCTTAGCTGCAAGTAACGAAATACCAGATCAGGACCTTACTGATACATATGTGCACCATCTTACTTGACAAGATGGTTCCCAGGGAGGCGCAGCAACTTAACAGCGTCAGTGAAGGTCCAGGTTCTCTCTATCCTCCTGCTCCACCATCCTCAGCAGATGTTGCTTCATGGTCACAAGACAGTTGCCATGGTTCCAGGCATCATATCTTCACCCAAGAGCATTGTCAGCAGGAAGGAAGGTGGAGAGCCAAAGGGTTCTTTTCTCACATGCCTCTCTATTCAAGGAGGGAAAATTTCTCCAGAGGTTCCCAGTGGACTTTCCCTCCCCTTGTGTTGGTTGGAACTGGGTCATTTGGCTACCGCCTGGCTAATCACTGGCAAAGAGGAAAAGGATTACTATGACAGATTTAGACCAATCACATTTCATCACTTGGGGCCGGGCATGTCAATATCTGAACACAAATCTGAATGAATATTGAGCAAGCAACCAGCAGTACGTGACACGTAGGCTGTGCCTGGCACCAGGATAGGCACAGCAGGAACACAGCCACAACTGGATGCCGAGCCGTGTGTTGGGCCAGGTCTGAGGAGAGGAGGAGGCGGTACTGCCCATGTCTCATCAGAACCTGGACCTCAAAGCGTCAAAGGTCAAGCCGAGTGCTTTCAGAAGGGCAGAGAAGTCTCAGGTGCCCCCCACCCCCACGCCCCCCAGCATCAAAGTCCCCCATCCCACTGAGAACACATGGCACAAGGCTTTGCAGCAAAGAGCCTGCAGAAGGGGGCTGGAGTCCCGGCAGGGCCTCAGACCTGCTGTGTGGCCCTGGGCAGGTGACTTGGCTTCTCTGGGTCTTGGGGCCCTCCTCTAAAGGGAACGATGCTTGCTCTGTGGATGCCATGCAACTGGTGAAGAGCCGTCAGCTACAGGGACTCATCTGAGAAGTTACGATGCAGGCACAGGTGGAGGGGAGTCCTCAGCAGTAAGCAGGTGGTTGGACCAGGTATGCTTTAAGGCTTCTTCCAGCTTGGATGTGCTTGGATCCCATGCCCAGCAGAGTAGTGAAGTAGTGGCTGTCTGGGTTCAAATTCAAGCTCCCCCACTTGCAAGCTGTGTGACCTTTGGCCACGTTGCCTAACATCTCTGAGCCTCAGTTTTCTCATCTATCGAAGTAGGGAAAATTTTAAGGTTGTACTGGGATGGGTCCCTTGAAATAATGCTTGTGAAGCCCTTAGTGATGCCTGGCACACTGGTAAGTGCTGGACAGATGGGAACCATTGTGGACATATTTGTTTTATGTCATTCTCACAGCAGCTTCGTGAGTTCGTGATTATTATCCCATCCATTCCCCTCATTTTATAGGTGGGGCTCTGAGTGGCCAGGGAACTTGCCCAAGGTCCTTTAGGCAATAAGTGCAAAGGCAGAGTTAGAATCCAGGCCTTCTGACCCCCAGTCCTCTGTCCTTTCTACTGCATTCCATTCCAGTCTGGAGGAGATGACACAGCAAGGAGGCAGTGCATACCCCGACGTGGGGGAAAATATGTGTAGCCTACCCATGCTAAGGCCACAACAAAATTGTCAATAGTAATAATAAGTGGTCTGCTCTTACACATATTATTTTAACGCTTAAAAGACTTTGAACTGGAGTCGTTCTTTCTCTCTTTTTAATAAATGACAGCATGAGGTTCAGAGGGGTTGAGAACTGTGCTGCACAAATGTGCAGTGGAGCCCTGGTCTGTCAGGCTCCAGATCCTGCGTCCTTTCCACTGGGCAGGGCTGCAGCAGATCAAGCCGGCCATGGGCTCCCTGGGTCCCCACTGGCTCCTTTCTCCACTGACCACTCCCAGGTCCGCAGGGCACTCAAGCCAGCACCCCTACTCCTGCTGCCTAGAGAGCCTCAGGGCAACCAGCTGCCCCTCCGCTGGCCTTTGTTCCTGAGGCCTCCAGGTTCCTGCGCAGCAGGAGCCTCCTGCCTCCTGGCCTGTGCCACGTCCTGCTGCCGAGCTAACTAAGGTTGTGCGGTATGGAGGAGAGCCACGGGCACGGAGGAGAGCCGCAAGCAGGGAGGACAGCGCGGGCACGGAGGAGAGCCTGTGGGGTGCTCACCACCCCGCCTCCCCTCCCAGCAGCAGCCTTGGCTGTAAGTCAGCAGAGCCTCTGAATAACCCAGAAGGCTCAATCTAATGGTGGGGACAGCAGGTATTAGGAGGCAAGTGGGGAGACATTTGGGGACAGAGAGGGGCTGGGCATTCCTGGGAGTCATCTCGGGCATGTGTGGAGATGTGTCATTGGCTGAGCTGTCAACTGCATTGCCTGTCCGCCTCCAGCTGCCCTGTGTAGGAGGCCGGGTAGGCCTTGCACACACATTTGTGCACGACAGAAAGGGCTCACCTGTGCCCCCAATCCCACAGCTGGGGACAGGCAGGGCCCCGGGCCACCCCTCCCCCAGAGCACGTCCAGCTCCTCAGGGTCCCTCTCTAGGTAACCGTGAGGCGAGCTCTGGATCCCAAACCTCAGCCCGGGATGGTGGAGGGTCACTGGGAAGGTGCGGGGGCTGTGCTTGGCTGCTCCTCACGCTGGAACCCTCCACATGGCGGAATGCCCAGAGGGGAGAGGCCCTGCCTGGCCTGGGCCACGGGGAGCACGGCTCGCTGGGAGGAGAGCAGCTTCAGAGTCCATGATTCTCAGAAAGGCTGGCCCGGCCTCTCACGCCAGCAAAACAGACTGAATCCAGTTGGGCCCAGCCTTTTGCCGCCTGCAAAGAAGACAAGCAGAAGTTTACTTCAGCGAGCAAGACCTGGAGCCACAAAGGAGCTCTAGGTTCCCTTTTGTGGCTCCTCCCTTAGGTCGTGGGTTCTAGATGAGGTGTTGTGGAGGCTTGGGCCTTGTGACCTGGACAGGCCCTTTACCCTCTCTGGGGCCTACCTGTAAAGTGAGGGCAATTACATCCCCAGGGGCCCTTCCTCACTTCTACAGCCTCTCCCATCCCGCCATGAGCTGCCCTCTTGGTCTCTCTCTCCAGACGCACACAGACATAGACACACACACAAGACCTACACATACGCATTGACACAGACACGCATACAAGTATACATAGATTCACATACACACAGACTCACGCTCACAGACACTACTTCTTGTGTCCCCTCTGCTCTGCACTTAGTCACAGGCCCTGACATCATAGCACTGACCACAGTGGCCTGGTTCAGTGGTTCTCAAACTTGGCTGCACTTTAGAATCCTCTGGGGAGCTCTAAAAAAATCCCTGACGGCCAGGCCACACCCAAAAGCATCACATCACAATCCGTGGGCCAGCTCCAGGCGTCGTAGTTCTAAAGCCCCCAGGTGACTCCAGTGTGCAGCCAGGGTTGAGAACCAGTAACCTTGAATTCATTGCCTCCCCCAGCAAGGAACCCCACAGAGTGAATTACAGGGCCCTCCCAACCTCAGATACAGCACCCACGTTTCCAGGCCCTGCTGGTTTCCTTCCAGGTTGTCCTGACGACACTTGACCCTGAATTGCCCCCAGTATGGGGCAGGGTGAGTCACTGTGAGCCAAGCCTCTCCTGCCACTTTGGGGAGAGAGCCAAGCAAGACTGACTGCCATCCACACAGATGTCAGGGATGTTTCTCAGACTGGGGGATGCCACCCGCGTCAGAATTCCCCAGGGCTTACTGACATGCAGATTTCTGGGCCCCAGCCCCACCACTGATTCCCAGTCCTGAGGACTGTGCCTGGGGCCTCCTGGTGGAAACACAGTGGCTGGTATGAGCACCAGATGACCAGGTTGAGTCCCAGCTGTGGCCCTGACCCACTCGGTCACCTGAGTAGGCTGGCCTCCCATCTGTGACCTTCCCACCTCGAGGGGCCTTGTGAGAAGCACAGGAAGGGAGGTCTGGGGAAGACACTGCAGACTCCAAGCACCTTAGGAGTTGATGGCTGTGTGATTATCAGTGCAGGGGTTTGTGTTTGTCATTTACATTCTGCTGGTCCTGCCCTGGCCAGATGCCCCCTGAATGAGCCTGGAGAGCCGAGAGCCCTGGGGATGCTACAAGAACAGTCCTGTGGTCATCCTGTACAGGGTGGGGTGACAGTCCTACGGGCATCCCGCACAAGGTGGAGATACAGTCCTGCGGGCACCCTGCATAGGCTGGGGATACAGTCCTATCGTGATTCCCCCACAGGGCAGAGGGGCTGTCCTATGGTCATCCCACACAGGGCAGGGGGGGAGGTCCTATGGTCATCCCGCACAGGACGGGGGGACGATCCTATGGTCATCCAGCACAGGGCAGGGGTGTGGCGATGAGAGTTGTGTGTCGGAAAAACGTGTCTGTACCATATTTGGCTCATCTGTTCGGGGGATGATGTTGAGGCCCTGTCACAGCGATGGGGATGCCCTGTGGCTCCAGTGAGCCTGGCCTTGACGGACTCATGGTGCGGGAAGAGGGCAGTAGAGGAAGCTGGCCATTTTTGGTCCCTTGCTATGTAGCAGGCAATCCACTGGACTTCTTACACATATCAGTGCATGAATTCTCATACCCAGCATTATCCCCAAGAGAGGAGAATAGGAAAACTCCAGAAGAGGGAGCAGACACTCAGAGTTAGGACTCTCCGAAGGCACTGAGAAAGATGTGGCCAAGGTCAGATTAGAGCTCAGGGAGCTCTGTCCCCCATGCCACCCTGTCCCCCTGCACCACCATATCTCCCTGTGCCACCCTGTCCTTCTGTATCATGCTGTCCCCTAGTACCATTCTGTCCCCTTGTAGCACCCTGTCCCTCTGTCCCCGTCCCTCTGAGTCACCCTGTCACCCTGTCCCTTGTCCTCCTGTACCACCTTGTCCCTCTGTGTCTCCTGTCCCCCTGTGTCCCCTGTCCCCCTGTGGCCCCTGTCTCCCTGTGTCTCCCTGTCCCCCTGTCCTCCTGTACCACCTTGTCCCTCTGTGTCCCCCATTCCCCGTTCCACCTGGCATTCCTGTGTGCCGGGATTGAGGGACTCATAAGATGCCTCTCACTTCCTCTGGGGGAGCATCCAGCTGCAACCCCAAGGTCTTGAAAGATCTTTGCCCTTGTGGTTTCCGGGGGACACCCTAGCCGGATCCCCTGGCCCAGTGTCGCCTCAGCTGCCCACCCAGGAAGGAAGAGAATATCTGAAGTCAGTGGGTTTCTAACAACAGAGGGTTTCAAAGAAAGATAAAGATCAAAGGCAGAGGAGGCCAAAGCAGCCCAAGTCAGATATCTCACCCCCAGATCAAACCTGGAGGAGCCGCCCGAGGCCGAAGTCTGTGGGAGGCCTGCCCAGCGCCCTGCAGCCGGAACCCTGCGGCTGTCAGTGACAGGTCACAGAGGGCGGGCCAGAGACAGACAGATAGACAGACAGAGACACACAGAGCAGGGCAGGGGGCCTGAAAGAGAGAGGGAGAGAGGAGGGAGGGAGAGGGAGAAAGAGACAGAGAGAAAGTCAGACAGGGAGACAGGCAGAGCCACGTGGAGAAGCAGAGAGAGACTGAGAAACAGAAAGAAAATGACGCAAAGCAGATGGAAGACAGAGCCTGAGACACGAAGCGAGGCGGTGAGGTGGTGCATGTCAGCGGGGACCCTGGGAGGAAGGACACTAACAGTGGAGGTGCCAGTGTGTGGCGCCCGGGTGGGCGGAACTTTCCTTCGGAGGTGGCTCACTGGCCTGCCCTCCTTGTTCTGCACCTGGAGGCCCGCTTTCATTCGAGATGAAAGGCGGAGCCTGCCAGGCCGTGGGTCGGCCTCCTTTTCCACAGATGCGTCTTCAGCGGAAAATGACTTCTCCTGTAGAGGCTGGGAACCACCCCTCCACCTGCTGGAGGAGGCCTCCAGGCTGGGAGGCCCCACAGAGCCTGGAAGCCCTCCCCTCCCCCAGGGCCTGCTCAGGCCTGCAGTGGCCATAGCCATGTGTTCCTGGCCCCTCCTGCCACCTGGGCCTTCCTTCTCCCCTCCACCTCCACACCTGCCTTCAAAGCCCAACCCAGGCTCCTCCTCCTCTAAGAAGCCCCCCGGGACCACAGACCCCCAGAGATTTCTCTGGACTTTTTTTGCCTGCCATGCTGGGTCATGTTCAGGGACACAGTATTTGTCTTCTAAATGACATGCACATAAATTCTCTGTTCCTGTCTCTCCATCTGGATGTAAAATCCTCTTGTTCATCCTCTCCCCCTCCCCACCCAGACCTCACAGCATGTGCACAGACAGGCACTCACCAGGCTCCGAAATGCGTCACTTCGACTCATGTTGTGCTTGCTACTTTTCCCAGATTTGCTCTGGTGAAGGTGGGCAGTTGGTCCTCAGTTTGGAGAGTGTGCAAGAGAGGACACCTCGTGACCGTGGACAGAGGGGAGTGGAGACCCAGGCGGGGGCCTTGCCAAGTTCCCTGAGCTGGTCCGTGGCACGCTCAGTCCTGGAGCCCGGCTCCTGCCATAGGTGGCCACCTGCCCCCCGCCTCTCCTCCGGAACCTCAGTCGAGACGAAGCTGAGCACCTGTGCTGGGGGAGCGGGGCAGGGAAGCGGGTTATTGCACCCTGCTGGCCTAGCTCAGACCTGAGAACCCGTCCCCAAGGGCCCAGCCTGCAACCTGGCCCCTGCTCTCTCACTTCCCTTTCTCAGTGGGTCAGCACCTGCTGAGCACCCACACCCTTGCTCCCACCCCTGCCAGGCACACCCTCTTCCTTTCCCCAGAGGCCTCCTTCTGGGCTGGTCCTGCTTGGCTAAAGAAGACACATGGCCACTTAACTTCTGGTGAGTGGGGTAGTGTAAGCCTGCCACTGCCCAGAAGGAGCGAAGGCTGGGACATCTGCCAGCAGCCCCGGTGACCTCCACATTCAGAGCAGTGGTCACTCCTGCCCAGCTGAAGCATCTCGAGGGCTGGGACCAGGCTTACTTACCTCTCTACCCTGAATCCTCACCCAGGTTTGGCACGTCGTGGATGCTGGGGTAACTTTTGAGCAGGTGGTGTAGCCCCAACCAAAAGACAGCAGCCCTGACAGCTTGGAAGCACCTGCCCTCCCTCCTGTCAGGATGATGATGATGACGAATAACAATGTCACTGAGCAAAGCGCTTACATCATCACAGCTGATACCCACAACAACTCAGACAGGTGCCTGGGACCTGGGGCTCAGTGACCTGGTCAGGGCCACACAGCTGGGAAGTGGAGAGGGGCCACATTTGGACTCAGGTGGACTGTAACCAGAGTCTGAGCTCTTGAGTCTGGGCTGGAAGCCTGCGACGGGGGTTCTGGTGGCTCCCCTGTGTGACCGTGGGTGGGTCCCATCTCCCCTCTGAGCCTCAGGCTCCTGGTGTGTGTAATGAGGACTTGAACTCCTTGAGATCTGTGTTCCCTTTCTCGGTTGACATGTCCTAATTCTAAAGAAGTTAGATCACCCCCCCAGGGGTCTTCGCAAGGATTCAGAATTAAGCGGCAGCAAGAGGCAAGACTGCTGCCTGCAAAGACCTTACGGTCCAGTGGGGGCGAGAAACAGCCACATAACCTTCCATGTAGGTTTGGGTTCCAGTTTCTGTTCAGACAGTGGGGCTGCAGGAGCCCTGATGAGGGGCTGGAGAGGTTCCTGGGGGAGGGGGAGGGATGGGCGGGCCTGGAGGGAGGGAGGCTTTGGCTGTGTGGATGGTTGGGGGAGGGTGGAGAACGGATGGCCGTACAGGTGGGGATGAAGAGACTTGGGGTGTGTGATGGCCTATGAGGACCTGGCCAGCTGGCGTGGAGCAAGGGATGACCTTTTAGCAATTTCCCTCTCCAAGCCCCGTCTTGTGAGCGAATGTCTTTAATTTATTAAGGGACAGATTTTAAATCATCCTCCTCCTTTCCCTGCCCACCTCCCTCCTCCACTGCCTGTATTTCCCCTGACCATAAATTTTTTTTTAATGACAGTTTAGAAAATGAGCAAATCTTTGCTGACACTTTTATCACCTCCAGAATACTTTTAATAAGAGGTTTCGGTAGATTGCATTCCGGGAGAGGGGGAGGAGAGAGGCAAGACAGAAGCTCCATCTATGCTTGTCCCAGCCCTGCAGCCCAAAGGCTGCCCCCTCTTCACCCCGCTCCCTCTTCTAGGGGGAGGTCCCCGCCTAGGACCCCAGCTCCCCGAGCTCCAGCCCCACCCCAGCGTCCCGCTCACCCTGGGCCTCAGCACACCCCTTCACTCCTCCCTCTCTGTTGGTCTCCTCATCTGTAAAATCTTCTGTAGGTGCAGGGGATAATTAGTGCAGACCTATTAATAATGGCTAACAGTAATTAGCTGCTGACATTTTGAACCACGCCTTGTTACTCAGACTGGCAAATCAGGTCCAAGAATATTTCTCAAACTACAAACAGAGCCAGCTGAACTGGAATCAAGAGCCTGGATCCCACCAGTCCTCTGATCCCCGGAATTGCGTGTGTTGTGCTCACCCTGTGTTAGAGGTCGAGGGAGCTGGAAGGTCCGCGAAGCACCCAAAACACAGTGTCACCTCCAGGAGTCGTCAGCTGGGTTGGAGAAGCAGGAAAAACTGTCCAGAATGAGGTTGGGGCAGAAAGAAGGCCTTAGAGGGCCCAGAATGGGGTGGGGCGGGCAGGCGAGCCTTTTATGGTTTCTGCAGGAGGAACAGATCCCCAGAAAGGGGACACGGAGTGTGTAGGGCTGGTTGGGAAGGGGAGGGCCTGGAGGGACTTGTTGCAGTTCAAGAGTGAGGGGAGGCCTAGACAGGAACCAGGAACAAGGCCTGGGAGCGAGGGACATTTAAAGGGAAATCAACAGGGTTTGGGGGCTGACTGGAGACAGGACGTGTGAGCAGAGGGTTTGGGAGAATGGGGGTGCCACAAAGAAAGGCCACCCCAGGAGGTCACTGGGTGAGTGCATCATTGGGTGACTGGCAAAATGATTCTGCCCATTTAAAAATATATGAAGGAAAAATCAAGTTTTCTTTTCTTTAAGAAACACATTGAGGGCAGTCAGAATGTAATTTGCTTCTAATTGAATTATGGCTTTAAAAAAAGGGAAGGGTTGTAAGTTAACTGTAAGTTGACTGAAAGTGACTTGGGTGCTCAGAGATCCTGGCGTTTACTGAGCCCCTATGACGCGCTATTCGCTCTGCTTGGCACATTTAGGAGCTGATGCGTTTAAAGAGCTTCATGCTGTGCCTGGATTCATAAATGGGAGCTATCCTGCTCTCATCTTTATTGTTGGGAGGAAATCCTTATGGCCATGGGTGAAAAATGAACATAAACGGCATGGAAAATAAAGTGCTATTGATCACTTACTAGGTGCCAGGCACCATTCTAAGTGCTTTGCATTTGTTGAATCCTACAAAAATCCTAGAAGGTAGGTGTTATTGTTATCAACCTCATTTTACAGATGAGGAAGCAGAAGCATAGAGAGGTTGAGTAACTCACTCGAGGCCACACAGTAAGTACCAAGTCAGAGATGGGACCTGGTAGCCCGGCTCTGGTGCCCATGAATTCATTTCCCCCCGCCCCGAGGCTGCAGTGTCTAGTCTATTTCTGACCCTGCAGAGGAGTCGTGAGGACCATAGGGGACTGGAGAAGACTCCAAAGGGTTCCCTGAGAGCCCGTCTCCTCTCTGAGGGCAGGGAAGGTCTTGAGGGGAGTAGATGCGACGACTGGGCTGTTGATTCCCGACTACACAAAGTGCAGGAGGAGAGCTTGAGGGGTTTTACTGACCCGCTCTGGGGGGTGCAGGGAGGGGCCCGAGGGTGTGCGCCTGGCTCAGCGGGCTTTCCTGGCGTGGAAGCAGACCTGGTGCAAGGAAACGGCTGGAGAGGAAATGTCGCCAACTGAGCTCTCTCCGCAACCGGGAGAGACCCGAGGAAGACTCTCTTGCCCTTCCTGTGGGCTTCTTCCTCCGTTCCGTGTCCCAGCTTTGAAACGAGACAGAAACTGAGTGTTTAATAGCACGAGCTTTATTCAATGGCCAAAGAATGGAGAGGTGGGAACAAAGTTCACAAGTCAGCTTCTGAGCCCCTGGGGCAATTTAGCAGCTGTCACAATGGGTCAGGGTAATGAAGAGGGGAATACTCATAGTTATTCGGCGAAATGGGCAGGCTGTTCTGGGGAGCAAGGGTGCCAGCTCTTTTCTTTCCTTGTTTGGTTATGGCCTGCCATTGCCGTGGCAGTCCTGAACTGTCCTGGTGTCGGTGGGTGTGTTCTATAATATGGTAATGTATCACAAGGAGCGTAGACTGCACCCTGGGGTCTATGTCAGGTCAAGTCAGACTGCCCCGTTGCCTTTGTGGGCTGGGTAACAGACTAAATTCCATTTAAACTGGGACTGGAGGCAATTAAACTGAACGAGAGATGGTTCCTGTTCTCGGTTTGTTTTCTTTACATTTTGCTCTAAGTGTATTTGAAAATGCCTGGACGTTGGAGAGAGGAGGATGCAGGAGTGAGAAGCTGTGGCCTCGCCACACGGTGTCTGGGTGATGGTGGGCAAACCACTGCCCTCGTGGACCGCTGGTCTCCTGGCCTGCAAAATGCGTCGAGTCCCCACGTCAGAAGCGGGGAGCCGAATGCATGCAGGTTTAGCTCCTGGTCCAGATTTGGCCTTCTGTATCCTGTGATTTGTAGCTATTATTGTTATTATGGCTGTAACTATAGATCATTAATTTACAGTTTGAGTGCCTCACCTATTTCACTTTGCACTATTTTATTGAAGAATTAAATTTTTATAGGAAATCCTTCTAATTGGCTGGATTCAATATCAGCCCTACTTCTTTCAAGTATACACAACAGATAGGCAGTGACACGCACTACTTCTGTCTGGTGGCAGCCACCCACCCACCCAAGCCACTTTTCTTCATCTCCTCCCACCTCCCGAGTGTCGGCTCCATGCCAGGCCCCGTCCTGGGTGCTTTGTGGACAGCATCTTCAATCCTGAGACAACCCTGCAGACGAGGACATGGAGGCACAGAGAGTTAGATGACTTGCCTGAGGTCACACAGCTGTGAAACGCTGGGCAGGGATTCAGAGCCAGATGTGTCACTAAGGCACAGGCTTTATCCCAGCTGGCCAGTCCAGGGTTTAGGGAATCCTCTGGGTGGAACTGGCCTCACGACGATGGAGAGATTGACCAGCTAGAGGCTGTTCTGCGGACAACAGGAGCTCTCCAAGATGGTTCCCGTCTGGGGCTGAGCAGCCCCGAGAAACCTGAAAGGAGCATCAACCAGGAGGACGCTGCCTCTAAACATTGTGTCCTCCACCTGGCAGGGAAGCTGACTCCTCCTCTGGAATCCCCATGAGGCTCGTCTCCGTGGCACCCATCCGGGGCTCATGTGCCTGCTATTCCAGAGACCAGAGGTGATGTGGGGGTGGAGCCATAATCATCCCTTACACTGGTCCAGGGCTTCACAGTTTGCAGAGCGGTCTTTCACAAACACCGTGGCCTCTGAGCTAAGAGGAGGTGGTGTCCCCACAGATGAGAACACGGGCTCTTGGGTGCACCGACTTGGCCTGGAGTCTCTGTTCTTGCCCAAGTCACTTCATCTCTCTAAGCCTTAGCTTCCTGACCTGAGAAATGGGGAAAATGCCTACTGCATAAGGTTTTTATGAGGGTTAATTGAGATTATGCATATACACATATATATGATTATATTATGTATATACAATCTCATTTAACTCCCATAATAACCCATAAATAAATAACCAATACCCATACATAGCAATGCTTTAATAAACTAATATTAACTAAGCACAGCCACACCCAAAAGTGGATGATAAGAAGTATTACTTATTAAGCCAAGTTCTTCTCATCATATTTTGTTTCTTAGTCCACCTTGACCATCCACTCGCACACCGGATGACAAGCTCCCTGAGGCCAGAGCCAGGGCTGGCTGCTCAGCTCCAGCCACAGCATTCAGCAACACGTCTGACAGGTGGCGGGGGCCCGATAAATCAGCCATGGAATCCGTGATCTTGTTTAACCTTCACAACAGGCCTTTGAAGTCTGGGAAATTCTCATCCTCATTTTACAGATGAAGAAACAGAGGTTCAGAGAGGTGACAAGGTCACACAGCTGGCGAGTGGTGGAAGTGGAGTTCACGCTCAGGTTCCTGACTCCCTAGTCTGTACCATGAGCCGTAACCCATCCTGCCAGAGAGAACCATTTCCTCTCCCCAGACAGAAGGCAGGGACCAGGCTCCCGGGCTCGCAGCCCAGAGCCCTTCTCATCGCATCAGAGAAGGGGTGGGGTGGTCCCCAGGTCTAGCCTCACAGCTGTCTGAGGAGCACCAATTGGGCAACAGCCCAAGAGGCCTTGGGATAACAGCTCATGGCCTAGGGGACCTGCTGTGCCCACCGCGTCTGTGTCCCAGGCGGTGGGACCTAAAGCAGACTGGGGACAACACACACTGAACAACACGTCTTTCCCAGGGAAGGCCCCTCGTGGGGCTCTTTCCTCTGCAGAAGGGGCCCTGCCTTGCTGGGGATGCCCTTCTCTTCAGGACGGGGACCGCTGGGGGCTGTAGCCGCATCACCTCTCCCTGCAGCCTGGAGGAAAGCGTGACCCTGAAGCTCTGCAGAGAGAA